CTTGTATGCATAAATAAACCTTGACCATAACTTTTAAAGGGTTAGGGCTCTCTCCAAACCTATAACACATAAAATTAAAGTGACAAAAATTTGTGATTTCAGAGTAGTGAAAATTGTGTGGGTCATTTAAAAATCTCAAGAACCACTGGGCTATAAAAGATGACAATTATGTAAAATGTTATAGAATAGATTTAAATTTGTTAAATTGTAATCACTGAGGGTAGGGAATACCCTACTTATTGTACCATTAAAATTTTATGCATTTAAGAAATATATATTTGAAATGTTAAATTGCCATACAGGGGCATCAGTGTTTCATCAAAATTTTAATTTGAAGAAAATATAATTTATATATAAAATTTCTTTTTGTCAAGATATTGGTAAATATTAATGTCCTCAGGTGGTGTTTGTTTTTTGAATCAGGTTTGTTCTAATCTTAACCCCAGTGGTAGCGTGGGGTCAAAACGGGGATAAGTGTTTTACATTCTAGGTATACGCACATCTATCAAAAAATTCGTAAAAAAATCTGCTCAAAAACAGAAAACCATGATAAGTTGCTATGATTTAAAAGCATTCTTAGGTAGTGCAGATTTAAGATTTTTCAAATGTTGATCCCCCAGGGATAGGGTGGGCCACAATGGGCTATCAGAGTTTAAAATAGAGATAAAATGGGTGGATTAAATATCCAAAATGTAAGAATAAGTAGATGTTGAAAAAAATATTAATACTTTAATCTAAAAATTCAGAGTAAACTGTTCAAAAACAGAACAAACACACAATAATTGATTCATATCTTCTTGCCTTGTTTACCTGTGTAATACCAAAAAATACATAACGGAATGTGGATACAGTACGTTACAGTACGTTTGTAGATATACATGTTTTGTTTCTGTGTTTCTGTTTTTTATTCACTTATGCATCATGATTCATGTATATGTTTTAATTTAAGAAAAAAAAGACTTGATTTTCTCATAATTAAGTGAAAGAAGGTAATTACAATATGTTTTTGTATTAAGAATGATAAATAATACTGTTTTTTTTCACCGACTAGGACAAAGAAAGAAGATGAAAAGAGACAAACGAGTAGTTACCAGATAAAAGAAATTGATGTGGTAAACATTTCTTTGTTACTTTATGTAGATAACTGTGTTAAAACACACTACATGTCTTGCTTATATATATAGAGTGTGTCGTATATAAATTAAGAAAGTCTATCTTTAATGCTGCACAAGCTTGTAACTTATGAATTAATATTTATAAGAAATCAGCCTAGTCTTTATAATGATAATTCTATGTAAATGATTCAGTTGACTCAATGGACGTAAATACAATGTAATAGAATGTCATATTTCTAATGATTTTATATTATCACCTTAAAAAGTTTTCCAGCAATAATTCACAATTTATAATTATGTGTTTTAATATATAAATAATTCTTTGTTGGACAGGTTTGATTGAGAATACTTGGAGGCTGTTATAATTTGAGATAAAGCATTGAGTTCTCAGTGTAAAGGTATTTATGTTTATCTGGGTCTTAATTCTGTTCTTTTCTGTAAGTTTATAAAACCAAGGCATGAGTATATTTGAGTATAAATGAGTATATGTGAAGAGAGCCCTCTTATTGATGTACCAAGGCATTGTTAAATGTGTACAGTATATTATAAACAGAGCCCTCTTATTGATGTACCAAGGCATTGTTAAATGTGTACAGTATATTATAAACATAGCCCTGTTATTGATGTAGATAATTATAACACAGTGTTGTTATTTACAGAGAAGGAAATCAACACAGGATTATAAAGTCACAGAGAAGAAATAGATGCCTGGTATCAATGATGTATAGATTGGTGTTACAGAAATCTATCACAGTGCCAGGTGTTAGTCATTGTCTTCACATTACCCACGTGACGTCAGACCGGGTCTGGATCAGTGATGATAAAGGCAATCTCATACTGACAAACACAGCGGGTGATGAACTTCATCGTGTGAAAGATTTAAGTGAATATGGTTTTGGAGTACATACTGTGACTGGTGGTGGTGACTTAATTTATATAGACAGACACGATAACATCATTAAACTGTCTAAAGATCACAGAATAAAGACCACAGTAATACCGTTCACAGCATCATGGAGACGGTGTGTCTACAGCTCCCCCTCCACTGGAGACCTGCTGGTCGGGATACATAATACTGATACAGAGACAGGCCAGGTAAACCGTTACACTGACACAGGACGACACATACAGACCATACAGCACGACAACACAGGTCAGGGACTGTATAGTAATCCTATCTACATCACAGAGAACCGCAATGGAGATGTTATTGTGTCTGACTGGGACCATGGTGATGTAGTGGTGACATACAGTAGAGGGAGACATCGCTTCTCCTACAGAGGTCCTCCATCACAATCACGACTAGATCCACGTGGAATCTGTACTGACGCGCTGTCACACATCCTGGTGTGTGATCCTTGGACTCACACAGTACATATACTGGATTGTGACGGGGGACTCCTGTCACTGATAGACAGAGAACAACACGGGATATACAGACCATGTGGCCTGAGTTATGATGACAGAACTCACTGTGTCTGGATCGGATCATACGACGACAACACAGTGAACATTTACAGACTGGAACACTCCCTGACTGGTAAGTTATACATTAATATGATTAGGTGTTTTGTTTTACAATGTTTAGTGTGTACAATGTATTATTTTCAGTGTTTTATATGTATTTACAAGACATTAATCAACATTTTTATTGTATTAAGTGTAATTAAATTACATGACTAAGTCTATTATACCTTGATGCATTAAGTAACAAGAATTATTTCTAATACATGTAATATGAGGATACATAAATTATAAACTGTAATTTATTACCTTGATAACTAAAGTAAATACTTTTAGGTTAAAATACTTATTATTTAATCAGTTAAGAGTTCTTTAATGTGTACTTGGTTTAGTTATAACTTTGTTATGTTTGACAAACTACTGATTTTGTTATGTGCGTTTGAAAGGAAGTAAATTTAATGTAAATTCGGCATTGTGTACAAATCATAACAATCAACATGTTTTCTGTAGAGCTCTTAAACTGACTATCACAGTTAAAATATCACAGAAACAAAATTAAACATTATTAAGCACACAAAAACACATTTGTGTACTTATATTACCCATAGTAGATTTATAAAATAATCTTGGAAACAGCCTGGTGATTTTTATTAAAAAAAATTATTATTCACTATTTGCATATTAAATAGGAGAAAAATAAATAAATAAAAAGATTGATGATAATGCTCATAAAAATGAATTGTATTAAACACTACATCAAACAAGCATGATAAAGGACAGATTAAAATGTATTTATAGTATTAAGGATATAGTATAGTAAGACTTGACATAGACTCTGTACTACATCACCATGATCACATACAATGTTTAATCTGCTCTCTTTGGCTAATCATATACATTAACTCCCATTGATATTGTGCTCTACTGGAGTGACATTTTATTGTCCACTCCTACATGTACTAAAGTGAGTAAATCAGTACCAGTTGAGTTGTCTGGTTTGTAGGTTAACTTTAACAGGAAGAAGGGGCTGTACTGTTGTAAAATGGGTGGAATGTGGGGTGGGGGTTGTAGAAGTTGTACTGTTGTAAAATGGGTGGAGTGTGGGGTGGGGGGTTGTAAAAGTTGTACAGTTGTAAAATGAGTGGAGTGTGGGGTGTGGGGTTGTAGAAGTTGTACAGTTGTAAAATGAGTGGTGTGTGGGGTGGGGGTTGTAGAAGTTGTACAGTTGTAAAATGGGTGGAGTGGGGGGTGGGGGTATTGCAGAAGTTGTACAGTTGTAAAATGAGTGGAGTGTGGGCAATGTCATAGTTGATATATGTTGTAACATTCCATGTAAACAAAATTCAGTGTGGGGTGGGGGTGACTAGAAGTTGTACAGTTGTAAAATGGATGACATTGGGGGTTGTAGAAGTTGTACAGTTGTAAAATAGGTGGAGTGAGGGGTGGGGGATTGTAGAAGTTGTACAGTTGTAAAATGGGTGGAGTGTGGGGTGGGGGGTTGTAGAAGTTGTACTGTTGTAAAATGAGTGGAGTGTGGGGTGGGGGGTTGTAGAAGTTGTACTGTTGTAAAATGGGTGGAGTGTGGGGTGGGGGATTGTAGAAGTTGAACAGTTGTAAAATAAGTGGTGTGTGGGGTGGGGGTTTACCCTTCAAATGGCCTTGTGTGGGGAGTGGGGGTGGGGTATTGCTGATCAGGGATGTGGAGGGGGCAATGTTGTAGTTGATACATGGTTCTTCAAACAAAATTAAATTTTGGTAACTACAGAATTTTACCAATTTTCAAGTGTAAATATTTTGTTTTGTTGCATTTTACTTAATACTTCCTACTTGTATGAATATTAACACAAAAATGTTTAGAGTGCTGTTGTATATATATAAAAAATTCTGTAAAGTATTGTTCAACAGACTAAATTTACACTGTGCATGGCTAGTTGACATTCAGGAATTTCACATATTTGTTACATGCATATTATCTTTTTTTTTGACAAAGATGAAAATAAGCCAAATTTCCAACACATGAAATAATAGAAAATAAATGCGATGTAGAAATTTCAAATAATTGTCTCCTTCTCAAGAATTTGTGTGTCTAAGAGTGTTTGTAAAATTTTTTGTACACAATGGAATCTATGGTCAAAATACATGTAAATTTTATCATTGATTGGGAACATAAACATTTTTCCAAATCTAAGCATGCTTCTTTTTTTTGTAATCATTGTGATTGTTATTTGATAAATGTATTTCAGTAATTGATTAGATACACAGAAATTTGTTTAATGTAGAGATATTTTCATATGATTTTGAAAAAAATTCATGTAACATTTGTATATCCTTCTGTGTCTTATTTTCACCAGAAAAAAAGTTTTACTTCATTTGGTTCTCTTACTAGTCCTTTTTTAATATCGTGAATCTCTTTCTACAGGAAATGACATGAAGAAAGCCCAAGTTCCAGAGAAGTCAGTCCTAACAAGCTGGTTTTCCCAGTTCACCGGTGACAACAAAGAGGAAGAAGAGACAGAAGAAGATGAAGAAGAAGAAGAGGAGGAAGAAGAGAAGCCAACAGATGCCACTCCCAAAAGAGGGCGGGGCAGACCTAGATTGACACCCAAGCCAACGCCCTCAAAGGAAACGCCCAGTAAATCTGATGATCAGCCCAAGAGAGGAAGAGGGAGACCGAAGAAGAATCCTGATGATGGGGAAACACCTGTTAAGAAAAAGGAAACTCCAGTCCCAAAAACTAATGGGGATGTTACTGAGAAGGAGGTTGAAGAGAATCCAGCAGGGCCAGGTAAAACTAGGCGTGGGACCAGGGTGACTGATTTAAGGACTAAACTAGATACATCAGTGGAAGAGTCACCTGGTGGAGAGAGAAAATCCACAAGGAAGAAGACTGTGTTTACCTGTGATGAATGCAAGGAGACTTTCCAGATGGAGTATTTGTTACTGGTTCACAAAAAGAGGTGTAAGAGGGAGTCTCTTTTGACTTCCCCTCCAAAGACAGTAAGGAAGACACCAGCCAAAACTAACACTCCACAGAAGAAACCAGCAACAGCAGGTGGCTCGCAGTCCACCACAGCTAGTGTGAAGAAAACTGTGACTTCAGAGCAGGGAAAGTCGGAGCAAGAGAAGAAGAGTGTTGAGTCTGGTCCAACACCGGTAGACATCAGTACTGTAATTGTGGCAGGCTCAGAGACCATAGTGATCACAGAGAGCATAGAAAACTTAACACGATCCCTTCAAGGGGCTGTAGAACCTACAGAAGACAAAACTGAGGAGGTGAAAGAAGGTGAAGAGAGAGGGGAAGAGATGGAAGTAGATAAGGAGAAGGCTGAAGAAGGACAAAATGAGGAGGCTCAGTCTGCAGATCAAGAGAAAGAAGAGGAACAAGAAGCAGAGGAAGAGGAGATGGAGGAGGAAGAAGAAGAAGATGATGGTGGGGAGTGGAGGCCTTCTCAATCAGATGATCCTCCTCCTGCTAAACGTCGAAGAGGAAGAGGACCAAGCAGAAGGGCACTTGCAATGATACAAGATGACGATGAAGATTACAAAGGCTCCAAAAGGAAGAGGAAGATACTGCTCAACATGAAACAAGCCATCCAGGTGCTGAAGCTTACTCCTAAACGAAAGGTGCACCCTGATTCTGGAATGGAGGAGGTCAATCGTGCCACAGATACGATAGATCCTGAGGCTTTGTTGAAATCATCAGAGGAGAGTGCGCAGGCTGAAAATAATGAAAAAGAGCAAGCTGAGGAAGAGGGAACGGGTGAAAGAGCAGAGGAAGAAAAAGAACAGGAAAAGAGCCAGGCTACAGAGACAGAGGACCAGGCAGCAGAGGAAGGGGACCAGAAAAAGGAGCAGCCAGAAGTGAAAGTGAAAGAAGAGAAGCTTCCCCTGAAGGTTGTGGTGGAGTCCCTTCCTTCTGATGAAGAGAGGGAGTTATCTGAGGCAGATTATCTGGACGTGGCAGAGATAGAGAAGATGGTGGACTTGACTTCGTCAGACTGTGCTATTTGTGGAATGAGATTTAAGGTTTGTGATGTTCCTTTCTTACTTAGAACTAATGTAAGAGAAGCATTTAAGATGTTCAAAACACATTTCATCTGACATCATAAAAAAGGTTGAAAAAATGCAAGCAGAGACATATACATATGTGTGTAACGTAAACACCTGAAAAGCTGCAAATCCTGTAAAAAAGGATCAAATATTTTGAAAATATAAATGATCAATTACAATGCTTTATATTTTAATTACTAGTGTCATAAGACTTTATCAAATAGAAAAATTAAAGTGTAAATGTTAGCCATTTTGCTGACATTTTCAGGATCCTAAGTACATGAGGAAGCATCTGATTACCCACTCTGGTCAGAAGAATTACGGCTGTAATGTGTGTAAGAGGAAGTACATGAGACGGTACGACCTTCACCAACATCTGATCAGAATGCACGGGTGGATCAAGCTGGGGCGGGGTCAGGTGGTGGAATCTGTGGACGAGAACTATGAACCTGTGTTAACACCCAAGACGGACTCCAAAATGTTTGATGCTGCTGAGGTTAGCAAGAAGTTTGAATAATTCAGTTTCAAGGAAAATCGTTTAAATTGAAAAGCAATGTTGTTATTCAGAGCATCTTAAAAATTTAGATTGTTCAGATTTTTTCTTGCGATGCTTTTATAATTCAATTTAAAAGTATTGAAACAGTTCTGTGAGAAAAAGCCATGAAAGATAAGAAGTTTAAAATTAATCTTAAAAAAAAAGTATTTGTAATTTTTTTGTGTATAGGAGATTTCAATACAGATACATTCCGGTGACAATAAAATAAGTACACCCTGGACAATTACCGTCATCTATACAACCGACACAAACAGTTCGGGGAACACGCCTATAAGTCGGTTGTATTTTATAAGCTTATATATCAGAACTTGACGCATTAAAACGGATTCATTCATGCTTGACCCGTTTCCTGTAAGTTTGAACATAGTTTTGATGTACCACTAAGTTACAAAAATCCGACTTATAGGCGAGTAATAGGTAAATTTGTAGTGTGTGTGGGAAGCTGATTGAGATTATACACCATGAAGGAACACACATTGATTCACACTGTTGGAGAAGGAGAGGTCTGGGACATTGGGAAAGGGATTCTCACTACAGGTAAAGTTACAGCTTTGCTTGTACGTACATAAATGCAAGCCGAAGAAAAAATTTGAATAGGCATATTCTTCCTTTTTAAAAAGTTTTATTATTTAAATACATGTGTGTGGGAAGCGTAAAAACCAAGTTAATTTTTTAAAGATGAAGGCACTCTTGAATAACTAAACTTATAGTTTATGCCTTCAATAAATTTGATATAGTATTTTAAGGGTTTGTATTTTCCTGTTTCATCTTCAAACCTGTTATTATTGTGTTTGTAGAAATATCTGATTAAACACATAAGAGATGCAGTTGATGAAGATTCATAGTGGAGAGAGAGTGGAAGTCATGCAAGTGTAAATATGTGAAAAAAAAAAAGAGGTCAAGTACAGTCACATGATACACAAAGGTGTATAGGAAGTTATATAACACACAGTAGGTCAAAAATATAGTCACATGATTTCAAAGAGGTCAAGTAAGTCACATGACACACAGAGGTCAAGGTAAGTCACATGAACACATTTTTTTTGGGTGAAGTCATATGATACACAAAGGTCAAGTAAGTCACATGACACACAACAGGTCAAGTAAGTCACATGATACACAAAGGTAAGTTTTCTTTGTACAAATATACACAAACGTCAAGAGAGTCACATGACACACAGAGGTCATTTGGGCAAGTCACATGATCACAAGGTCAAAAGTGTCACATGATACTTAGAGGTCAAGTAAGTCACATGATACAGAGGTCAAGAATTCACATGATACACAAATGTCAAGTTTGTCAATGATACACAGAGGTTTTTTAAATCTAAGTCACATAATACACAGAGGTCAAGTAAGTCACATGATATCACAGGGTCAAGTAAGTCACATGGCACATAATTGTCACATGATTCAGGGGATGACAAATCCCATTGCCAGACGCCCGGGGCTAGTGAATTTTAGGGTTGGGCAAGTGAAATTTTATCAACCACTTGCCCGTGGGCAAGTGACATAATCAAGTATCAAAAATTAAAATCAATATGTATGAGTATTTTTTATACATGTGTATATATTTATAAATACAGTATAAGTTAATGGTATGGCAGGCAAAAATTCAGGTAGGGCAAGTGGATTTTGACCATGTACTTGCCCTTGGGCAAGTGCCTTTAAAATCTATTTGTCAGCCCCTGTTTTTACACAAGAATAATTTTTCATATCCTTAAATTTATGTGACAACAAGATTTAAGTATAGTTTTAAAAACATGTCATTAACACAATTTGATACCTAAGTCACACATCCTTAATGAGTTTGGGACATATTGGTCAAGAAAGTATGTGGCGTTAAAAAAGTAAGTGGAATAATGGAAGCAAAGAAGAATCAAAGAGGGTTTTCTTTAGTGAACATAAGAAAATTTCAGTATATCTGACCAGAAATGGTCATAAGATGCTGTGAGGAGGAATATGACTACGGACGAACACTCCATGGCAGCAGGGATGCTGGAGGCTGGCAAAATAACTTTCGCTGTGGGAAAGATAAAGTCTTTTTGCAGAGCAGTCGCTCTGCAGAAAGACTTTATCTTTCCCATAGCGAAAGTTACGGTTATGAAACCGATACATACAGGCAGAAAATTGTAAAAAAAAAAAAAAAGCCTAAAATGGGGACGTCCAAGGTGTACGGCAGTCCGCTTCCAAAGTGCTCTTAAGTTTAATACTAGGCATCAGCGAGCAAAGGACAGACGGATGCAAACAGTTTGAAACAGACTTCAGGAAGCAAATATCAAGGCTTGCTGACCAGCCGTACGTCCTGCATTAAAATTAGAGTGCCGCAGAAAACGAATACAGTGGGCAACAGAACACATAAATTTGGCAATTAGGCCAGCATTTTTTTATTTTTAGGTTTACAAACCCGCCGCTCAAGTTTTTGAATTTTCAGAAAAAAATATAAAATTGAGAAAAACAGAATTTTTTTTGTTTCCGATGTCAAATTTGAGTCGTGATCGAGATTTCAAATTTACGAACTCGTACTTCCGGTTTTAGATGAACATGGCGGGTAATGAAGGTAGATTTGCAAAGTCCATAGCAGCACTAAAGCTTTGTTTAATGTTAATATTTATCGATAGGCGTGCCATTCAAAACATTTCACAAGTTCAGAGGACAAATAAAAGGCTGATGACTTTATTGCACAATGACATACTGGTGAGATAATTATGTATCCGTATTCAAAAGTATCTGTAAATTATTTTCCTCCCACAGATTTAAAACTGTCCATGGCAGCTTTTGTCAGAGATATTATTTAAGTTTCTGTTATAGCTTACAGTCTTATAAGCATCATTCTTCAGAAAAGGGTGGCTTATGCATCAGATGTAATGAATAAAACTATGGGAGAAGTTAAGTCCATTTGAGGAAGAAATAAACAATAGCCTAAAGAAATAAAATACTTCAAATGTTAAAAACAAGTATTATATACAAATATATACAGGTATGTAGTATCGTTTGTGGCAGCCAGAAAAAATAATTTACACCTAATTAAAAAAAATTTCACCCTACTCCCCAATACTCCCTGTCTGTTGTATGAGAGGAATTTTTATTTTAGGTCTCAAGTATATTTTAGAACAATTTCTACACATTTACCAAAACATATTAAAGACGTACAACACACTGGGGGAGATAACTCCTACGATTTCAATTGAACGTTTGACGTGACGTCAAATTTAACGTCAAAAATAAAGGTCAAAACGACGAGTAAAACGATCCCGATGTATATCAATCATTAAAGAAAAATGGGATTTGGGGCTTGGCTGTGATTGTGCGTACCATACTCAATCAATATGTATTTTTTTTTATTAACCCGATTAAACTCCGTAAAAAGCAAGACATAAAATACCATCCCTTAATGTTTATTTCATTTCATTTCATATACAATAAATTGTATTTTTGATCAAAGCGCAGCATTTTTTTTCATTCTGAAAATTTTATTTTACATTGCCGAAATTCTCATTATGTACAATTGGCTATATAACATTCCGATTATAATGGTCTTCATTACAGTTTGTGCATACACGATATAAATATTGTTTTTCTTCTTTAATCAAATAAAACAACAATAAATAAACATAAAACTTTTTACATTGTAAA